GCCCTGGGGCCGACATCACTCCCGACGGCGGGGCCGATGTAGGGCCGATATGAATCCGAAGGTGCAAATGAGCCCCAGCCGCCTGCAGCGGCAGCAGCGGGCCGGGAGCGGACATTAAGTTTGTCCGACATCAAATTGACTTTGGGCCGCCATAATCATGCTGGCTGGGATAATACTTGGATGTTCAATAAGCACACTGGGTCTAGATACATTAAGTGTTTTAGAGGCTTTTGCTTATATTATTCAGTTTTATGCTGATTTCTTCCGCTTTTCAGCAAACATATGGGGATTTGTTGGAGTATATTAGATAAACAACTTCAATTCAAAAGGATATGTGATCCCTGTAACTGGGAAATAACACATATAGGCCTACATGCACTCTTATAATTATAATATATATACATAGGCTTATGTAATATAATTTAACAAGTTCTTCCTTCATTTTATCCATTATCTTTACTTTCTTTCAGGGACCTATTCAGTCTGTTTTTACATTTTGAAGGGATCTAATTAATTTCCAGTAGATCGTTAGACCCAAACAGAAAAAACAACCCTAAAAGCATTTTAATGTGATTTTTATTAGGCTATTTGGCTAAACTTTGACATTTTATTTAGAGCTTGGGGATGGGGCAATGATTGCTTGAATAAGTCATGTAAACAATATACTCAACAGAAAAGTAAGTTTTGCTTTCTCCAGAAAGTTGTATGTGGTGCCATACTTTAAAAAACTTAACAAAACACCATCAGGCACTCCTTTCTCCAGTTGCCTCCCATAAAAAACTCGCCCTTTAAAGGCCTACTGTAAATAGCAATATTGATCTACATGCTTATGAAAGGTCTTTGGCGCAAACAAGACATCAGGTAGACGACTTTTGGTGAAATAGCAGATATTTCGACTTATTTAAACTAGAGGTGATTTAACCTGATGCATTTTAGATTAGAGGCCGGCTTTATGTTGCAAGAAAAATAGATCTACTGGACTGAACGTAAACCCCCTAAAATTGTGTTTCTTCTGTTTTAAAAGGAAAGTTTGGCTTTCACATTAGATCTATGGCCTTATTGGCAATTTGGCAAGCAGAGGACGGCGGTGGACGGCCAACGCTAATGGAGAGTCAGACCTGCAGCCGGTCGATACAGTTAAATTAATGGTCAAGCTTGGCCAATAACATCACCGAAATGTAAATGCTTTTTCTACAGGTAATGAAAATTGTTTGATTGTTATCTATTTGAAACAAACCCGTCCAGTGTTTTCTTGTGACGGTCTCCTTCCACTCTGACGCTGTCCTGCCCCCCAAAAAGCCAAAACAAACTCACCCATCAGGACCAGCAGAGGCCAACACCCAACTGCAGAAGTGCAACATAATTTAGATCTCTAGATCTGGAATCTAGATATATATATCTAGATCTAGAAGGCTATTAGATATAGAATCTAGATTTAGATCTAATGTTCTAGATCTAGATCTAGATCTAGATCTAGATTTCTAGATCTAATCTGCAAGAAATGTGTTGGTCAGTTGTTGTGCCTTCTTGTTTATTTTGCCTTTGCAGGGCTGCCTAAATCGGCCCTCTTTGGGAAATTGCCTTCTACCATTGGCAGCCATTCTGAAACTGATAATTTGCCATGTACGTGAAGAATGTGTGTGTTTTTTAAAAGCCCCCTGATACACCCACTGTTATTTATGGCTAATGCGCATGGCCACCTCTATTCTATTCTCACTCCGGGTGAGAATAGCGCAGGCGAGCCTTTTGGCTATTCAGCTATTCTCACCCGGTGTGCGTTCACCGTTATTGCCTAGGCCAACCAGTGTTATGTTCACCCTGAACCACAGAATTCTAAATTGTGATAACAATAGTAGAATTCTGTGCCGTGAACAAACGTTCCAGCGCTCTTGCGTATTACTGTTTAGCCTAAAAAATTGGCCATTGCAATGTCTGTGGGCAGTGGAGAGAGAGAGAGAGAGAGAGAAAGAAAGAGAGACGAGTAGACCCTAGCAGTAGGCTAGAGCGAAAACTTCAGGGCAAAACAGAATGGCGACCCGCATAGTTCGGCTCGATTTTAAAAGTTAAATAGCCGTAGCATAGACAACCAAATTAATTCACTTTTTGTGTTTTATTTTAACATCATTTTTAAAACTTTGCTTTGGTCAATTTGATCATCCACACCGATAGACAGTATTCAGAAAGAGACAGAGAGAGAGGGGAGGAGTAGATCTTGCGAGAACTTCTGGGCAAAACGAAATGCCGACCCCCATAGTTCGGCTCGATTCGAAAAATGAAACAGCCATAGCATCTTTGTAGACGACCAAATTAGTTTACTTTTGTGCTCTAACGTCATTTTTTCTTTGCTTTTGTCAATTTGATCATCCACACCGTATAGTCAGTATTCCGAAATTAGGAAAAACAGGTCTTGTTTCACACTGGGTGAGAATAACCAACGCTGGCAAGTCTCACCAGGGGTGAGAGGTCGATCGTATTTTTATTCTCACCCCGGGTGTGGCCACTTCCAATGCACATTAACCCTCGCCAATAAGCCTATATCGGCACCATGCCTTCGTTCTGTTCCCGCGTCAGTCTAGCCCCTGGCTCAGCGCTCGCGCGCCGAGCACCATCTCCCCTTGAATTTGGGGTAAATTTTTACTTACATGCACTCACACATAGATGCATTGATTTGAGGGCTAAACTGCCACAATTTTTGCCGTAGAACACGTATGGCCCCTAAAACCCTTGCAAATCAATTGTTTTCAGTAAATATCAATCTTAATTGCCAAAACATCAAATTATTGTGAAGAAATACAGGGGCAGGGGCCCCCCTGATACCCCCCTGATTCTTTTTAGGAAACCCCCATGATATTGTTAAATTTACTATTTTAAGTATTTTCAAACATCAATAACTCGATAACTATTGATTTGCGGCAAAAATGAAGACCATATTAAAAATATTAGTGTTTAGCATGCAAAATACTAGATCTACTAGAAAAGAAGTAGAAAATGTGAACATGAGACGGATGCATTTTTTTTATAAGATAAAACAAAAACGAATTTGGGTCCCGAGTCGGATCCGCATTCACATAGCTGAAGTGTGTGTGCGCCAGTCTGCTTGAGTTTGTGTGTGTTTGTGGCCTTCTTCTTGAAATGCCTGCGTTGGTTTGTATCCGAAGCATACACGTCTCATTCAAAACACGCCAAGTTGATAGCTCTAGATGTTCGTCCAATGAAATTATGAAGAAATTGACCCACTTAGACATGATGAGGAGCTCGAAAGGATAGTCAGGAAACAAGACTTCCATTTTTCTATACAAAACATTTTAAATAAGCTTGATTTTGTATGAAATGATACTACATGATAAAAAAAAGGGAGGGCCTATTTGCAATGCCGCGTTGCCATTAGCGCCAGTGCTAAATAAAACGCTGTGCTGCGATTAGCGCCAGTACTAAATAAAACGCCATGTATTAGCCTAGGCTATATGAAGCTTAATCTACCTTTCGTTGCGGAAGTTCTGATGGCCGAAGTGACAGTGCGTCTGCGTTTGAAGCCAAACCATTATTTTATGAGCGTGGGTTCGATCCCGGTCCTGGAAGTTTTTTTTGTCCTCTTCTCGACTGACCAACAAATTTTCCCCAAAGTTAGATCTATAACTTGTTGCTTTGTAGTTATTTTTTTAATACTGTTGTGAAGCATGCAGATTCTGGTTTTGTTCCCAAGAGGAGCTCTGTACAAAGTAGGCCGTAGTAGTATAGCCTATACTTTTCCTTTTACCTGTTTAGGCCTGGTTAAAGTTCAACAGTGGCTTTTCTTGGTCTGTGAGTCTAAATAAAAAAAAATAAAAAAAATTTAGGCCGGCACTATTTCTCCGAACGTTTGGGAAAATAAAGTTGGGCACTATTTCTCCGAACGTTCGGGAAAATAAAGTTGGGCACTATTTCTCCGAACGTTCGGGAAAATAAAGTTGGGCACTATTTCTCCGAACACTCTGAAATCTCATCCTTTCTCGCAAATTTCGGATATTATATAGATCTATGATTATAGTATAGGCCTACCAAAGATTGTTCGTGTACAATATGGTTCAAGCGGTCCAAAAAATGTCCGCAGTAAATATTTATATAAACAAATGCTACAATTCCAAAGTTTTTCACTACAGATATGGCGTGTTGCCTATGAAGGGTACTGCTCTTAAACGTAATGTGTTGTGTTCACTCGGGTGCTGTCTAGATCTAGATCTACGGAGGGTTATTGATAACGACACATAGAACTGGCATCTGCGTTTGTCACTGCTGCGACCAATGTACTGACACTGGCAAAGCCCCTTAATGTGTGTGATTCCATAATTTTCATGTAATATCCTGTACTTTTTTAAAAATTACGCACATTTAGGGTTAAAACAGCCAATCTTCTTCGGACAGGTGGACACACGCCCTTATTTGTTAATGTTTGTTGTTGTTTATGGGCTGTTCTAATTTTGATTTCTTTCTGTTGTGAAACCTTTCTTTTTCACGTTTTTCAAAGTATACAAAATAGAAACACAGGATCCATTCACTCCAGGGCTCATGAGTCGTTCGTCTCTTTCAGTTTCACTCATTCATTCAATTCCCGTGTTCTCTCCCGCGGCTCATCCCTGTCCGCATAACTTTCATACCCCACCCCCTCCCTCCAGGCACACACAAAGAAAATCTCACTCATTCCCTTGCACCCTGCGAACCATGGACAATAATATAGGCAAAACACTGCCTGAGCTGCATTCCTTTCTTTCATGAGCTGTGGACCAGGCCAGAGGGGTCGGTGTCGTCGTCTTGTAGTTGCTGTCGCCTGTGGATACTTGCACATTCTTCCTTTCACCCGCTCTTTCACTCACACTGTCTCTCCATCCACAGCTCAGCTCGTCAAACGTTCAAAAGTTGCCCACTGGTCATGTTTAGTTAGTGTGTGTACATGTGCATGATGGTGGTGGGTGTTACTGAAGGTTGTCTGTAGGCGGGCTTGCCATGCAGTGTTCCTTCCCAAATCAGAGGCAGAATGAAAGTTGGCGCCGAACTTTCGCAATAAATAGGCAAAAAATCACGAAGCCGGAAACCGTTCGGAGAAATAAAGATCGGCACTATTTCTCCGAACGTTCGGAGAAATAGTCACTTCGAAAAATTTAAGGGAGAAGAAAAAAAAACCCTTCCGGGACCGGGATTCGATGCCGCGCTTGGAAGCACTGAACATTAGACTTAGATCTAGGCCTAGCGAACATAGACAGCTTGTATACATTCCCTAACCTAGACCTAACTTAAAGACAACATTTTTAGGTAGATCTAGAATCTATTGCTTTATTATTGCATGACGACACAGCGGACAGGAAGCGTCTTTCGACTTGTTTGCTCAAACTCAATACTCAAATGATTATGATTATGAGAGATAAACAAGACTACATCTGGTCTACTAGACTTTTGTGCAAAAAATGCCGGAAACAATTGTTAGATCTAATCTAGATCTAGATTACCCAATATTGATCGGATTAAGACAACGTCATAAAAAAAGGAGTCAAATCCTAGGAGGTTTATCAAGAAACTGAGAAAGGTTCCACAATTCAGGCAGAACTACAATATTATCATGTAGGAACGATGGCTACTAGATCTAGATCTAGCACATCTAGATTTCAGTACATGTACTGGCGTTTCAAATAGTATGGGAGCTATTGAGAACGCAGCGTTTCAAATAGTATGGGAGCTATTGAGAACGCGGCGTTTCAAATAGCACGGGAGCTATTGAGAACGCAGCGTTTCAAATAGTATGGGAGCTATTGAGAACGCGGCGTTTCAAATAGTATGGGAGCTATTGAGAACGCGGCGTTGCAAATAGCGCCTGCCTAAAAAATAAGCTTCTTGTTTGATAGTTTTGAATACCATTGTGCAGATAGAAAGAACAATTTGAGTGCAAAACATTCGGAAATTGACCTGTATGTTTTGCACTCAAATTTAATTGAACAGTCCCTAGGCTTTCTTCTCAGTTGCCTGGGTGAATGGATGTTGATGGCCTGTGCTCCACTGGGAGTTTAAAAAGGGCAAGAGAGAGAGAGAAGAATGGATTATGACCGCCGGTCCATAACGTGAAGGACCGATTAAAAATTTGCCGCGTTGGACAGTGACAGAAAAACGTAAAGGGGGAAATGGAAAGTGGCTGTTTGTACAGGTGGCTGTCATGCCAGGTTTGACTGTATACCCTATCAGAGATGTTCTGTTATTGTGGTGCAGGGGTCTCAACAAACTCAAATTAGCCTGGGGCTGAATGAATGTATAGTTAAAGTGAGCCTGGGCTTCATCAAGTACTTCTTCCAAAAAAAAAAGTTTCAAGTATTTAAAGAAAAAAGTACAAGAGATGTAATCTTAATCTTTATTTCCCAATAGTAGTTCCAAACATTGTCTTTGTGCTGCTCAAAGAGCAGCCTCGCCAAATAACTGGTAGTCAGACTTGCTTTGTTGAATTATTGTGTGCGTTTGTACCTAAAAAAACCCCCCAAAAACATCATATATGATGAAAGTGGAGCATGCCTTACACACACAGGCATGCATTTAGGCAGAGACTACCCTATGAGGTTTGTGGATCTCCCGGCAGAGTGGGTGGTGTTTTGAAGATCAATAATATATAATGAATCAGTTCTTTCACCTTTTTATGAAGAGTTTGAGATTCACACATCAATTATCAATTTATAAATCTGTACAAACAGCTTGACCGACTTATTTTCTTGCCTTGCATTATATTTTTAATAGAAAACATGTTTTTCCATGAGTAGTGCAGTGGTCAATTTTGAAACTCCTCTTACAAACACCCCCACCTTCTGGCAAATGCTTCAACATCACTTTTCGAAACATAGCAGCAGGTGGTTGGAAGGCCGCACTGGAATGTCTTACTTGAACATTTCTTTCCCTCTTTTTCCTGTACATTAAATAATCAATGTATGTGATGTTCTTCTCTTTTCTCAAACAAAATGTGACAGAAGAGCATGCTGTGAATCCTAAATGTGATATTATAACCATTTATGACAGTGACTTCTTTTTGTCTTAAACTCACAATTTGTAATGAAAAAGTGGACAGTACCAGCATTTATTGAGAGCTTAATTAAGATCTTTTGACACAAGTTCTGGATTACTCTTTATGGAACTTGCTTTAAGCTATGTGAGAATGTGAATTCTTTTTCTGTATGGTTTTACAGACAGACTGTCTCAGCTATCAATGATAAATTGAAAAAGGACCCCAACTTTGTGATCAGAATATTATAGATAAACAGACACTGATACTGACAAGTAGCGTCAAGTAGTGGGATGTTGGTGTTTGAACTGTTTTCTCTAGTCGTCCTACTTCTGTTTTACTTCCTTCTCAGACTTGTGCCATACTATGTATACCGTAGACTGCACCAGAAGTTACCTCTGCATGACTATAGAATTCAGTGTTTTCAGTCGCACATGCAGGCCTTTTCTGATCAATGTGGAAGCTAAGAGATAAAAGGTATATATTTATAGGTTGAAATTATAGTATATGGGATCAGCAGTTAAGTGTTAGGGTTGGTTTTGTCCCTTCAACCTTCAGCGTTGTCTTCCCACTGTCCTTTCTGGAACCTTGATCCCAGACCCACAGCTGTTTCCTTTGACATGAAATCTCATTTGTATTCCAAACGAATGTGTGTTGCCGCACGGTACCGGTTTCCGTACACTTATCTGCTTTCCTTTGTTTTGATCTCGTGCCAGCGAGTTTTTGTCTGACATCGAAGCCTGGTGTTAACTTGTCCACTTGCTGTTATTGCTCCCATGGATTTTCTACAAAAACTTCTGATCAAGGTAAGGAAACTGCTGAAAATCCAGCACACTCGCTTGAAAGTTTTTTTTTCTTTTTTCTTTCCTTCTTTGTGATCAGACTTCATAGTGACCAGTAGTCATATGGGGATATTATTTGTGTTTTTTCAGTTGGTATTGAGTTGTTTTTTTCTTGCATTTTTATCAATTAATTTGCATTTCCAGTCTATTGGTCATTTATGTGTACGGAAACTGGTTCCTGCTAGGTACTCAAAATGATTGGAATATATGTCTAACCTTGGGATGTACTCTGTCGCTACTGTTGCACTTTAATGCATTTTGTTTCAATAGGTCTATTGTCTAGGAGGACAATTGTGGTGTAGGTTTCCTGTAAAATGAACATGATAAGAGGTTCTGGGGTGGTGAATTTAGTATGGTAAGGGCACAAATGACAGGCGAAAAAAGCCCCTGCAATTTAAAGATCCAATCCAACTCCTAAACCTAATCTATCTGTCCATGTCTTTGCTTGTCATAAGCTCTGGCTAGGTCTAGTACTGGAGATTCTACAAAATGTTTGTACTACAACGTGTACACTCTTCGACTGTGCGTGTGGGGTATGCATGTATACTGGAGGCTTTCTTCGCACAGGCAGTACAACTGGCCGTGCCCATCGTTTTATCTTTAAGTTGGAACAATCACATAGTGGTGGTGACAGTGAGGAAGCATGCATGAGGAAAAGCACTTGAGCTTGCATTGGGCATTAGTTTCTTGGCTGTGTGGACACAAGAGTATAATATTATTATTGAGAAGCTAATAGTACACTCAGTTGTGTCTTTGTCTTGTTATAATTACCAAAGTGTAGAGGAAAAGTCTTCAAATTTGCTTTTTATGGGGGTTCTCAGTAGTCTTTGTTTACCCATTGATCACAGGCACATACTGAATAGGCGTTCTATGTGGGTGGTTGGCGGGTGCTCTGGTGTGGTTTGCTACTATTTTCCTATCAAACATCTATCGTCCCGATCTCTCCTTCTTTTTTATGTTTGTTATTCTCTTGTAACACCTCTTATCTTCTGCACTTCATGACCTTATTGTGTTGCAAGGGCAGTAAGAGTCTTACTAAAACTAAACAGAATAGGCCTTCTATTTACACCTTCAAGCACTGACTTACATTTACACAATACATGGCAACAAATTATTACACACATCCACAGAATGCTTGCTTTGTCGAACAGGCTCTCAACTGACTTAATCGTCAACACACTTACACACACACACATACACGTACACACCCACAAATTGGAATATCAGCTTGCTTGTCGACACATGAACTTGTTTGTATATACATATTATGTTCAGCAAGCCATTTATCGCTTCCTGTGGTCTACAGTAGGTACTTTGCAGCGTGGGCTAGTAACGATGCATTTGTTAATAATTATCCAGGAAGGGAGGGGGGTGAGTGTGGGGGGGGGGGGTGTAGGCAAATATATGTCTTCTTCTTCTCATTCGTGTCTTAATGAGTGCGGAGGCTGTTGTTTGCCGCAGGCCCCCAAAGAGTTTTGTATGTCCCTGCGTAGAGATGGGCCAATATTTCATTCTAAGTGCCTTGAGCATTGGGCAGGCTGGTACACATGTGGGAATTGTGGTTTGTGCTTGCACTAAGATTTGGGAACAGCTGTTTGAAGGATTTCAATAGCGTCCCTTTTTTCTATGTAAAAGTACCTCTAGGTCTAAGGGTCTCCATTTTTTGCCTCAGTATTCAAGCTTTTGTCAGTTTATAATCGTACCATGACTTCTTCATCGTGCTTCTTCTCATATGGCCATGCCTGACAAGTCTTCTTTTTATTGCCAGTAGCTTTCAGCAAAGACCATGGTGCTTGTAATGCTACCTGTGTCCTTAAGTTCCTTCTCGAGCTCATTTGCGGAGTCGCTGGTGTCTTCATTCTGATTGATGAGTATGCCGTGTCTAATTGTGCTGGTGCCTAAACGATTTGTTTGCTGGTCACCTTTTTTGTAATGATCATCCCACCACTGATCTACAACATTCACATGTCAACCTGTTGAATTAAGTATTAAGTGGTGAGGGAATGGGAGAGAAATAGAGAAATTGGTACGAGGTTAAAATGGGATGACTGGATTTTACTTTTTCACAATGTTATGAGCCTCAAGATTGGATAATGCTGTATGTTAGTGGCATTGGTAGTCTAGTGGTTGGGCTACCAGATTTGTGATTGTGAGATTACAGTTTCAGGGGTTCAAGGCTCAGGTATGACATTGTGTCCTTGAAAAAAGCACTATACATGAATTTTCCTCACTTCACTCAGGTAGGAATGGGTACCAGGCCATAGACAGCAAAAGACCTTGCCAGTATGTTAGTATTTCAGTGCCTGTAAAATGGCAACTTGCTTCCCATGAGGTTGAGATTGTTTAAGGTGGTGATAGTGAGATCGGTATAGTCGGCTTGGATCTGTTAACTTGTGCTTTAAAGAAATACTCATGTTCCCTTTTTGCAATATTATTCTCTTGGCTAGACTTGTTCTTCAGTTTCAATTGTTTTGACAATGAGCAAGAGTTGGGTCTTGTTTCTCTCAATCATTTCAGCTGCACATTTTGTTATTCAGGTTATGTGGGCAGCTCTTGCATTCAGTTTTAGCATGTTGGTTTCCTACCCTACATGTATGTGAGTGTAGTTTAGGGTAAAAGAATATGAACTGAATTTGACTTCCGCCTCATTTACATGATGAAAAAAATGCCAACATTTTACTTGTCCGGCTGTTTATCTTGGTCTTCTTTGTCTTGGGCATTTGTCTTAGGCAAGATTTCTATACATATTTTATTTAAATGGAAGAGAGAAAACATATTTGTTTGTCCTGTACTCCTTTTCTTGTGAAAAAATGATGGGGTATTTTTTAGAAACAACAACAATGATTCACTGCTCAAGTCAGACCTGTCAACCATCTCGGAAAATCTGAATGCAGAATTCAGACTATTTACCGAGATTTCAATGAAATTACCATTGTGTTGGAAAAACTCAAAATGTCAAGCAGGGCATGACAAAGAAATGAAAATGTTATTTCTGATTAAAGATAAGTCTGTAAATTAGATCAACATTCATAATTGACACAACAAATATTTAATGGAGTTGGAAATAAGGGAACCAGTCAGCATCAGAGAAATGAGTGCTGAGGCTTCTATAAATAAAAGATGGATGGTTCTTCATGAATCGGCCTTCTGAGATGGAATTACAAGTGGGAATTTTTTTTTGTATGTTAGGATCCCTTAATTAGTTTCAACATTGATGGATCCTTGAATCATGAGTGTTTGTATTTTATTTGGAATTATAAATGTTTCTTTCGGGAAAATGATCTTTCTGCAAAGGGAAGACCAGTGTTACAATAGCACTTTGTTGTTTAAAAAAGTATACATTTATGCTATGAAACAGCTTATCATCTTCCAGGCGCAATCGCACTCAATTGCACACATTCACATTCACTTTTATGAATGTTTGGGTATTTTTCCTCCCCACATCTCTGAATTTAAGACCATTGCTCTTACCTTTTTTTTGTTTTTGCTTTCGTTTCAGACAACTTTGAATCACAACTGGAGTACTGTTGCTGGGTCTTTGTCCATGTTGGCTACATTGTCATAGTTTGTGTTTGGGCGCCAAAGACAATCTCGACTTCATGAACATTTGTGCTCAGTTTGAACTTGATGGTCACTCATTCAAGGACTTGGTAGGCAGATTTATTCTGCCGACTTGAGTCACAAACATGGTTTTCTTCAATCCGGACAACAATTGTGTGGAAGCATTTGATGTTTCAGGACATGTCGATGTGTTTGTTGATGGAGAGTTTTTCTCCAGGTGTAACTTTTCCAAGACTGTCAAGGTTCACTTGGTGTTGAACTCAAATGATGGTTCTGTGAACAACCCTGATTCAAAAGTTTCTTCTGTTACAGATGGAAGCAGTTTTGAGAATGTACTTACTGGCCAAGCACCTTATCACAGCAAGGAAGTTTTGCCTGCCACCTCATTCCCCAATGTTGGTGATAGTCAATTCAAAGACAAAAGCCTTAGTATTAATGAGGATTCAAGTTTGGGAGTGGTTCCACAAATAGCCAGTGATGTCGGTGAAAGTTCCGGCATTGAGGGCTTTGCGGTCCCAAGTAATGAAGTGTCAGAGGTTCGTGACCTGAAGGTTTGTCAGGATGACTTGCAAGAAAGAGAGTCTTCACCTCTATCTGGAAATGAAGATGAGGATACTGGTAGCCCTCTAGTGAATTCAGAAGAGGAAAATGCTGGAAATCAAGACAGTTCAATAAATCAAAATGCTACTCTTCTTCCACAGAAATTTCCAGAGACAGAGGAATCTGCTTCTTACGAGTGTAAGTGTCATGCTTGTGGGAAAGGATTTGTCAGAAGAAGGCAGATGGTAGCACATGGCCGTAATCCTGACTGTGTGGTCAAGTGCTCAGTGTGTGATAAGAAGTTTTTGTCTGCTGCTATGTACTTTATCCATTTCTGTAAACGCCATCCCAACATTAACCCCAGGAGGGAGTTTAAGGAATACGTCAACATCACTAGACGTATCAAGTGGCGTGCTGATGGGGAGAGGGTCAAGTGTCCTTTGTGTCTCAAAATGGGGAAGAAGAGCAAGTTGTTGAGTCATCTGGAAGGTAATCACTTCAAAGATCTTTCCTACGTCTGCTGTGTTTGTGGCAAGTCTTTCTACAGTGAGAAACATTTGCATCAGCATTCCTTAACCCATGGTGTGGGTCGGCATCGTATGTCTGCTAGTTATGGTCCCTCAGATGGAAGAAGGAATTCTGCTGATAGGAACGAAACCTCGCTGCGGTTGCCAAAACAAGAATTGCAAGATGCTAGTGATGATGAGAGGGAAGAATCTGCAGTAGAACCCAGCTATGGGGTGGCAGAGTCAAGTTATGGCCAGGCTGCTCGCTCATCTGATGGGCTCACAGTTACCGTAACGGACCTTCTAAAAAATGTGGCTAGTGAAAATGAACAGGAAATGAGAGTCTCATATAATGTCGTTACGAAGGAGGAGGTTATTGAAGCTGCTTTTAACATTGGCGACAGTGTTGAACAGAACGAGTATTCCAAAGTACAAGACCAAGCAAATAATGACAGTTATAGCGCTGATACTTCTGGTGTGTCACATAGTCACAGTGCTGAAACAGAGCAAAGAAATGTGCAGCAACCGGAAAATGAAAAACATACCCATAGCGCTGCTGTGTCTGGAAAGCATTTTAAAGTACACAAAGGGAATTCTTGTGAGTTTTGCGCCAAATGGTTTCCCAACAGAAAAGCAAAGGAAGCTCACAGATTGAACCCAAACTGGAAGTTAAACTGCATCACTTGCAGTGCTGTTCACCCCTCAAAAGGATCATTATTTGAACATTACTGCAGAGATCACCCCTCTGTGCAGGACTTAAAGGAGCAGTTTGGTGACCAGTTCTCCTTTGTAAATTTGAAATTGCTCAAGGGTCAAGGTGTCTGTCCACTTTGCATGGCACCAGTGAGTGAGGATGAATGTATCAAACATTTAGATCTAGTTCACTTTAATAACCAGCTGTATTTGTGTTGTGTGTGTGGACATGAGTTAAGCACAGAGTCTGCGTGGTTTGAACATTGTGAAAATGAGCATGGAAGATGCTCTGCTAGGGAAGGGAGACAACAGAATGTTCGTGTCACTGTATCTGGTAAAAGAGCGGAGAACTCTATTGCTGCTATTTCACACATGAAAGTAAATGGACCTAAGAGTAGTTTTGAATTTCAGTGTAAATATTGCAAGAAGACTTTTGGCAGTAGAGGTCAACTGTTAGCACATTCAAAAAGAAAAATGTTTACTAAGTTACCAAGCATTTCTTGTAAGCTGTGCAGGGTACGTTTTGTTGATCAAGCTTCCCTCATAGTACATGAAAAGAAAAAGCACAGCGACAACCCGGGCCCTGAATCGCTGGGCAGCAATCTGAATTACAACGATGTTGAATGTCCTGTTTGCAAGAAAGTGGTGAAGAATGCGACTTTGCTTTATCATATTAGACAGTTACACACTGGGGAAACGATGTTTGAGTGTTGTGTGTGTGGCCGAGGACTTCAATCTTTTGCAGAGTACAAAAAACACTGTGAAAAAAAGCACACAGAGGTTGAGAAACCAAGAAGCAAATTCAGATGTTCTCTGTGTCCTCATGTGTGTCACACCTTCAGTGAGTTTAATCGACATAAAGCAACGCACAAGAAAATTTGCCGCTTTTGTGGTGAGAAGTTTCCTTTGGTAAGACTTGCAGATCAGCACTATGAAGAAAAACATCCAGAAATGTTGTTCCCATGCAATCATTGTGACAAAAAATTTCCCACTCTGAAACATTTAGAGACCCATGAAAAATATGCTCGTTTTAATCGTTTGGAGCCTTGTCCGAAATGTGGCCTGATGTTGCACTGCCTGAAACGACATATGAAATCAGTGCACTCTGAATTTCAAGAAGCACAGTGCAGCGTGTGTGGTAAAACGCTGAAGAGTGAGAAAAGTTTAGCACGTCACATGGAACGACATAAAAATGACCAGCTTGCCTGTCCCGAGTGCTCCAAAGTATTCAACCACCAAGGAGCTTTAGCCAGGCACCTTACACTGGTGCACTTTGCAGGGCAGGTCCACATGTGCCACGTGTGTGGGAAGAGTTTTGCCAGAAGGACGACTCTCAGGTATCACGAGCGCATTCATTCTGCCACCAAAATGTTCTCCTGTCCCCTCTGCAACCAGGGTTTCAACTACAAAGTCTCCTTGCTGACCCATGTGCGCTCCAAGCATCCAGGATATGAACTTGGTTTTTAACAGTGATTGTTAACAGGGAAGGAAGAAATAGTAACCTAAATTACTATTTACTATGTTATGACAGCTGTTAATATTGAAGACAATGAACATATTTTTTTCAGGTTCTTAATGAGGACATTGATCCTGTCAAATCCCTATTGTACATTGTGTGTTTCTTTTTATTGATATTCAAACATATTCAATGTTTTTGAATTCAAAATACTTATTGTGTAACACAATATGTAGTGTATGATTGAACTTGTAGCAAATCAGTACAGAAGGGCAGATGTGTCCCGGACATATGATGTTTTCATTGCGGGATAAGAAAATTGTGTATGGGTATTGTCCATATATTTTGAAGTGTTTACTGTAGAAGTATTAAAACTGTTTATTTTGTCTTAAATTTGCTATATTTCCAGCAGTTGGATAATAAGGATACAGTTGACCTGTTCTTAACACGAAACTAGACTGTCAAAACTCAGTAGTCCCTGCAAATCCCTTTATTATTTTATAATGTAAAAATTGAGTTGCACATGTACTGACAAAGTAATGTTTTTTCAAACCTTGTATTGTGTGTATGACCTTCAAGCATTACACTGAAGTATGTCAGAGACTCAGAGGTTTAATTGCTCTCATAATGATAATGTGTGTCTGATCGCTTAGTTTTTATGTTCTGTTTGGGATTGCATGTGTTTGAATATATTTATAAGAGAGTTCTTCCCCCCCCCCTTATTTCTCTCCCTATAGTTCATGGCATAAAGACCTTCTGTAATGTGAACTTTTCATACGGAAGTATACCACACGTGATGTTATCACCGAATAACATGATCTGCTATTTGCTAATTTTTTGTACACCACCGACAACATATTTATCCATCCCAGTCATCCCATTATTTGTTTATGTTAGGTGATTTGTGCAGTACTGTGCTTAAATTTTTTACATGTAAATAAAAAAGATAAATGAGGCAGTGTGTGTGGAATGAGGACTTTAGCAATGGTACAAAATGTCAAAGTCAAAAGTGGGCAAACTTAAAATTTTTTACCAGTGTTGCAATGTAGTTTTTCATTGTCTTCAGTTTACGGGAGATTGCAGTTGCCTGATTTTGTAGCTCTTTCGACCATTAAGATGAGCACATGTTTTGTCACTGTGTAAAAATGTGTAAACCTAATAGGGGGTGCCCACCATACGTGTTAGGGTCGGGTCGGGTCTGGTCGGGTCGGGTCTGGTCGGGCCTATCGGGTCGGGGTTGCAGTGCACACTACAGCCCCGCTGCGATTGTACTCGATGACCTGGAAGTTAAAGTAAAGAAACCTTTAACCTACATGCGACTACACAGAGGGCGTAAACCTAGTCTACGATTGGCTGGACCTTTGACCCAGGAATACATAAAATATGCCTGCCGTACTCTTGGACTGTGTGTGTGTGTGCGTGTGTGTGTGTGTTTGTGTGTGTGTGTTCGTGAGTGCTTGCTTGCTTGCTAACTTGCTTTTGTCTACGTGTCCACCAAAATAAGGCCATTTCCAGTCCAGGCTAATGTACGAAGTTTTTGCACGGTGTAGAAGTGACTCAAAAAGATCCGCGTCCACCGACATCAGACCAGGTAAACCTATTTTTAACCCAGTGTGTTATGATTACGAGGACAACAGACAGCACTGATGATTTATTTACCATTTTAAAAAGCTAAAAAGCAACAAATTATAATCATGGGAAAAATTGTTGGTAAGTTGGGAGGATGAGAAGTAGGAAAAAAAAAAAAAGCTGGGACTGGGATTCTAACCCACGCTCACAAAATAATATTTTTTGTTTCAAACGCAGACACACTGCTCACTCGGCCATCAGAACTTTCATTTAGCTAAGGGTAGATTAAGCTTCATATTTACAGCACTGTTTCAGGAAAGGGAAAGCGACATAATAAATTGAGATGTAGATCTAGAATCTAGGCCTAGATCTAGTGGACCTGTAGATAAGGTCTGGAGAAAACTAAAAATTGGCGGAAAATCGGAAGCTCTAAACATTAGAGAACGTAGATCTAGACACGTCCAAAGCTAGATTCTTGGTCTAACATGGCCTATTTTTAGCCGTCCTGAGAACGAAATAATCTAGATTTAGATCTAGGTCAAGTGCTTTGATTTCATTTTTTCTGCTGTTTTTCAGACCAAATCTGCTATTGTACAACGTTATAATGAGATACAACTTTATTGATCATGTAAAGTGCAACGAAGAAGCAAAAATGTACTTAAAGATGCAAATTTCCTTCCAAAATGAGTCGAATCGAGGCCAGAGTATAACTTAATGTATTCATGGGTCAAAATGGACCCGATCGCGTATGTGGGCACCCCCTATAAGACCTGTCAAAATGATTTACCTTTTTAAGGGGTTTGTATTTCTGGGATTGTGACATCAGCATGATGATTAAATATGTGTATGCAACACTGCACAATGGTATTGTTTATAGATTTTTTTGAAAATGTTTTTTCGTATCTTCTCTGACAGTTTAGGATCTGAAATGTTTTGGTCTCTCATTTTCTAGTCCTCGTAAATCAAAATGAATTTGTGGTGCCCTTGAAAAACATATAAGATGCACACAGCCATTAATCAAGACTTAACCGGAAAAGATATACGGTGGTCTCCAGATAAAAGCATGTTGGCAGCATGAAAGCAAATTGTTCCCAATTATCACTGATAAGCGCGCATTCCTAATTGACGACTGTGTCTAATAGCATGATTGTTTCTGCACTAGTGTCAGAAACAGATCTGCCATAAGATGACTGCTTTCACTTTGTACTGATGGCAGTGAAGCATGCACTTCGTGCCTCCTTTATTTCTTGAAATTTCTGCTTTGCCAGGGAGAAAAAGTTAAAAGACTTTATGGGAAAGGGTATGATACCATTGAGCTGTGAGGAAAGTCAGTGAGTGACCTATAACTATCCTAGAAGTAGAAAGAACGACTGTCGCTCATCCGAGTGTTTTGTGTGAACGTGCAGTTAGTCGGACCCGTCAGTAAAATTGTTTCAATCGCGCATTTGCGTCACGTGACATGACATCGCCGTGTGAGTTCAGCGTGTCGGGGACCGTCCGTAGACGGGGTCAACTTAAGTTCATGTATTTCGGGATTTAT